TCTGGCTGTATTTTAATCCTGGCTTCGTCTAGCCTAGGAACAGCCAGTTACTGTGGTAAACAGAAATCGTCTGAACATCAGCAGTATCCCTATCATCATCCTGATGCCAGCCTTGGGAATTTTGACCTCTATGTTTCATGGCATGTTCTACCCCTCCGTGGTCAATAAGCCAAGCCAGATGCTGTTCTTCCAACTCATTGACATGGGGGAAGGAACTGAGCTCTACAGCCTCCTGGCTTGGTTCAGGGCTTCAGGGCACATTTGGCTCACTTATGCTATCACACATTCTTGATAATGTGTATTTTAAATTACCCATGCACTTTCATCATGGAAGTCAAGAGCATGTAAGATCCTTGCCTTTTCTGGAAGGAACATTAGACATGGAAGCTTTAACACTCATAAGAGAACAGATGTCTGGTCAAACTGATGCGATTTATGATAAATGAAGCCCAGGAGAAGGAATTGCTAATGAGGGCTGGGAATGAGTGAGGAGGGGAAAATATTCTGTTACTTATTAGGGTAGGGAGTTGATTTAGAAGAAGCATGATTAGTAATATAGGTTGAACTCTGGATTTCTAGATATGGCCACATATGACTAAGGATCATAGATAGGGTAGAAAGTGAAAAATATCTTGGTATACAATGATTCTAATAGAGGTAAAAATGCTAAGTTAAGTCATTCTCCTTATGTTCTCATCCTTGGGCCTGCCTTCTCTGACATTTATCCCAGTATTTCCATAATACTTTTGGAATAAGCAATAACGACACCATAATTTACTCTCATTTTGCATATTTGTTCTATGTCTTTAAAAGAAGCATTCTGGCCGGATGCAGTGGCTCAAGCCTGTAATCCCAGCACTTTGGGAGGCCGAGATGGGCGGATCATGAGGTCAGGAGATCGAGACCATCCTGGCTAACACGCTGAAACCCCGTCTCTACTAAAAAAAATACAAAAAACTAGCCGGGCGTGGTGGCGGGCTCCTGTAGTCCCAGCTACTTGGGAGGCTGAGGCAGGAGAATGGTGTGAACCCGGGAGGCGGAGCTTGCAGTGAGCTGAGATCCGGCCACTGCACTCCAGCCTGGAGGACAGAGCGAGACATCGTCTCAAAAAAAAAAAAAAAAAAAAAAGCATTCCATGGGATATTCTAGTAGGTAAACATAGAAAATTTTTTCCCGTCTGATAAAATCAATAAAATGTAAAACAAAGAAAGTAACAAAAGATAATTTATTGAAAAAAAGTATCTCACAAATTAAAGATTTTCTGATCTGCTGAAATTCTCTGAGAGGGACAAATAGATTTGCTGGAGTCTAGTTTTTTTGTTTTTGTTTTTAAATATTCACTGATGACATCACAGTCTCTTGTCAAAAGTTCACTGATAATAATATCAAAAACAGACTACCAGACAGAGAAAACAGATGAGACGCTTATAAACTTTTTAAGTGCTCTATTTTCTCCCTTTAAACTCTAAATATGTGCTGCTAAATATATGCACAGAAAGAATTTCTTATTGAATGATTTTCCAAATATGCAATGCTCACTACTTTCATCATTTTCATGTTGTATATATACCTCTAAACTATTATTTATCTAAGTGGTTTTAGACATTTTGCCTAATCAAAGTTATCCGATCAGGGAAGCAACACTACATCAAGAATCATGGAATATATATATATATTTCCATATCTATTATATATGTGTATATATACACCCCATATATATGGAATATATGGTAATTATATATGCACACACATTATATATATGTGTGTGTGTGTGTATATATATTCCATAGCTGAAATACTGAGGAAAGCATTTAGCTTTTCTCAGTAAAAGAGGATGTGTTGATAACTCTTTATTGTGTGTGTGTGTGTGTGTGTGTATGTAAAGTTCAGTGCTTAACATCATTGTGAAATGTAGACTTCTAGTTGTTAGTACATGTAACAACAGCAGAAATGGTAAAATCATTACAATACAGCTGTGAAGGATGTGTTCTTGCAGCAAAGCACACGGGGGATCTTGGTTCCTAGCAGAAAAACACCACTGCTGCTATTTACTTCATCAGTGAGTGACTCTGTGAGAGCAAAGGCCACAAGCACTGAAAAGAGAACAGGCAGTGGCCCTGCCTGCCCGCTGATCAGATTGTGCTTGTCTTTTCAAAAAGGAAGAAATACATCCATTTAATAATTCCCGCCGCGTGCATTGGTTCATGCCTGTAATCCCAGCCCTTTGGGAGGCTAAGGCAGGTGGATCACGAGGTCAGGAGATCAAGACCATCCTGACCAACATGGTGAAACCCCGTCTCTACTAAAAATACAAAAATTAGCCGGGCGTGGTGGCAGGTGCCTGTAATCCCAGCTACTCGGGAAGCTGAAGCAGAAGAATCGCTTGAATCTGGGAGACAGAGGTTGCAGTGAGCTGAGATAGCGCCAGGGCACTCCAGCCTGGATGACAGAGCAAGACTCTGTCTCTAATAATAATAATAATAATAATAATAATAATTATTATTATTCCCTCAGATAGGACAGCTAAGCCAAGTTAGCTCTCCAGCCAGCTCTTGTTTGTGAAGTGTAATTCTGTGGTAATGAGCTGGTAACAATGTGAGGAAACAGTCTAAACATTCTGAAAATCAATCCAAACATGACTAAAGACAGGAATAAAGGGAAGGGAAGGGAAGGGAAAAGAGAGAGAGGAACCAGAGGGAAAAAGAAACTTTTAATGACCATTTCAAGGGCATCAAGTGCACCATGGACATGAACTAGTATTTACCAATACAGTGGGGTTAAGGAATAAACTCTATTGGGATTCCCATTCATTTATATTTCACACTCAGAAAGGTGCAGTTTTGCATTCTATTGCCTCTACCTTACCCCAGAGATGTTCCATTCTGTTGTAAATGAATGAGCTTCAATTGTTCTCAAAAGACTTCAATGTATTCACATCTTTCACTAAATTTAGTATCTTCTGAATAGTTTGCAGATCTCTTCCTACATATAAGACAAGACTATGACCAAGAATATGCAATTTTCATTTTTAAGGTACACAAAACTCAGTAACTGGGAAAAACAAGGCCTACTAAGTGAAGTCTCTCTTGCTCCTTTCCAATTGTCAACAGATGAACCTCTAACTGCTGGGGAGTAGCCATGACACAGTGTTGGCTTCTGAATGTGCTTGCCACAAGGAAAGAAGTGATTTTTTTTTTTTTTTTGGTTGTAGAAGACACGAATGGGATATTGAGTTTTCTAGGAGAAAAAAAAATATGTGATCAAGATATGTAATCAGGCTGGGGGTAGTGGCTCACACTTGTAATCACAGAAATTTGGGGAGTTGAGGTAGGAGGATTACTTGAGCCAAGGAGTTTGAGACCAGTCTGGACAGGCTATCTCAGCTCAGCCTAGTGAGACCCCATCTCTACAAAAAGAAAAAAAAAGGTGGGGGTATGTAATCATAGGAGGACAAAGGCAAAATGTGTTGGTCAGGTAACTCAGAAAAAAGAAGGCAAGACTTTGTGTTGTTGGTGCTTAAAAATTTTGGTATATTTTATCTTGCACCAAATGACATGCTCTATTTTGGGATACTTGTCATTCTTATTCATTTTCATGTAAGCTGTGTGAATTCTTTTTTTCTATTCTTTCTGAAGTAAAGCAGGCAAAATACTTCCAAAACATGCCAAGTTGAAAAGATATTTCAAAATCAATGCCCACAAGAAAAATGTCATCAGTAATATGCACCAGAGAGCTGGTAGTTTACAGCTTCCAAACAGCAAAAGATACTAAAGAACTAGGTGCACTTTGTAAACAAAAAGGTATTTCAGGATATTTGATCTTTGCATTACGAAAAATAAACTACTTGCTGCTGCTGGCTTTTTCTATGAGTTCCAATTGGAACCCTTTAATTTGTTAGTGAAACTGTCAAAATTTAAACATGGATATTTGTAATTCTATCAGGAAATAGTTGATTAATAGGTAGGTTCAGGAAAAAGGATTAAGTTTTTCCTGGCTTATCCTTCTCCCTATCAATCATTTTCAATTTCCTTGGTCTTCTCTACTTTACTGTATTGGTTAAATGAAGAACCAAGATCTTAGTTTGTGATCTTTATTGGCGATCTCGGAAACGAAGGGTTTTTTTGTTAAGACTTTTAAGAGAGAAGTGACATTTTCCTTTTATTGGTTGGACTACAAAACTGAGATGTGTGTTCACACTCAATGCCAAACTTTTGTTTACAAAGTGCACCTAGTTCTTTAGTATCTTTTGCTGTTTGGAAGCTCTAAACTACCAGCTCTCTGGTGCATATTACTGCTGACATTTTTTCTTGTGGAAATTGATTTAAATCCTGTATTTCAGAAAGAATCCAATTGATCCATATTTTAAATGCTTCCTTTTGACTAAAGGTTGATCTGCAACTCTTGGGGACTGCTCCTGAGGTCACAGTGAACCACTGTTTGTATTCAATCATCTCTTTCCTCAGAGCAGGCTCAGAAGACTAGGAGCTTGTTTTGCAAATCCATGGCACCAGCCATTTACTATCTATGTCACATTTCTGGAAAACTTTCAAAGTCTTTCACTGTAAGTTCAAGATTTAAATTGTATCTATTAGAGTATTCATTTTTTTCATATGACCTTTTAATTGTTTTCTGTTGTTGTGAGTTGTGAGCAAACCACACGATTAAAAGATAACTCCAGAAACAGCAGAAACTCTCAATTCTTAGTATGTAAGCTTTTTCCTACAGCAAAGTTAGTTTAAATGTTTTAAACATAAAGCTGATTCTGTGTCTTCATTTATAGACTTTTATTTTAGCTTGTACACCACAGTTGGGTTTTCTACATAGGATAAATTGGGAACTAAAGATCAGGCTACTTAGAAACTATAGAATTACATAATGATATCCAACAATCCGAGAAAGTCTTTTATGTTTCAAAATTCATTGCTTGGGAATTGTTTTTTAAACTATAATTGAGGATGCTTTGGAAGTGCAAATACCAATATATCTGTTTTTGCTCTAGCGGCCTTTTAGAAAATCTCATGTCACTTCCTAGTTGGAGCAATTAAGCAATAGAGAAGATGGGTGTTCTGGAACAGAATTTAATGAAACAGAACTCCACCATCTATGGCAAGTTTGACTGCTTGAGTCTCCAGAGGATAAGAGTTGGAGGCCACTGAAGCCCAAATTCATTAGTCCGGCCATTGAAGGTCACAAGTGAACAAAGGAGGACGGCAAAGACAGAACTGTGATACTCAAACACTCAATAGCTCACAGCGTGGGGGTTCATTATGACACTTACTAAGCACATGCCATATTTCTGACACTGTGCTAAGAGTTTCATGAATATTAACTAAATTAACCTCATAAAAATGCCATTAGAAAGATGCAATTTTGTAACCCCTTACACAGATGAAGAAAATAAAATATGGAGACTTTAAGAAATTTTCCAGAAGTCTTATAACTGGTGAGTAAATTTTAGCTACTTGATCAGACCTCAACCAGGTGATCAAAACCCAGAATTAATATGGCTCAACCAATACTACAATCTATTTCTCAAAGTAAGTACACGGGACCGAGCCAGAAAGCCAGGATATGAGGCAGAGGGCTACAAGACCAGGTTCCTAAAGCATCAGAGTTTTGTTGTTGTTTGTTTGTTTGTTTAAAGACAGAGACTTGCTATGTTGCCCAGGCTGAACTTGAACTCCTGGGCTCAAGTGACCCTCCTGCCTCAGGCATACCAAATAGCTGGGACTATAGGCACATGTCACTGTGCCTGTCTTTTTTTTATTATTATTATTTTCTTCAATTTTAAGAACAGTTACTATGATAATGCCTGAGACTTTCTGCTCATTTTTTAGACTGAAGTAGTAGATTGGGTTTCCCCCTACCTATTTGGAGATCCTGGTTATATAGGAACCACCTGATGTAGGGAGAGTACACACAAATCATTAGTGTAAGGGGGCACAATTGTGTCTTTGAAGAAGTTTTCACTGTCTGGAGCCTCAGCAGTTTTGATTTAAAAGGCCCAGACATGGAGCAAAGAGCTCAGTCCTTATTCTTTCTTCCTCTTAGGGTTGGCTGGAGAGAGATCTTGCCAAGGCAACTCCAATGATAATATGTTAATTGTCTAACTTCTCCTTAACCCCAGATTCTGGAATATTTAAGTGGCCTATGGTACAAAGTAAGTTAGCAGCACCATGGTAGTGTGATTCCCTGAAAATTCAAAACCTTGGGAATACTTTTGCACCACATCTCACTCAGGAATCAAGCAATCCATCCAATATCTTTAGTAGAGTGTTACTACAGTGTGAATCTCAAGACACCTATCTTATTTTTTTATTTTTTGCATTATAAAATGGAACCAGTGTTCTCATGGAGACAAAGTGCAAGAAACATAGCAATCAGCTATGTTTTGGCGGAAAGAGGCTGAATCGGTGCTGTAATGGCATGCAGGACATTAGTGTTCGCAACTATGCTTCCTAGACATTATAGTCTCCCATAGAGGTTTAATTTACTTTTGAAGATATTTCAGCAGTATTTTTCTTACTTCCCAAACCTGATGTCATTCCTTGGAAATTTTCCGTATTTAAATATTCTTTATTGCTACATATAGCTCATGGAATGTTTTTTTTTTCTTTTCTCTTACTTCTTTACTGACATATTCCAAAGAGTTCAGTTTTTTTTCAATATAGAATTTGATTCTATTGCGTTTATAAAGTGCAAATACAGCTGGATTGAAACAGTGACCCACTCTAGCAGATACTACATTGAATAGCAGTGAACATTGAGAAATTTTGTACATGCAGGACAATAAATATGAGCAATTTCTATTCCAGGTTTCTAATATAAGGGTAGTATGAATTGACAATAAAATACATTCAGGAATAAGTATAAATCCAGAGTCTGAGTCTCAACATAAATTATAAACCAATTTTTTTTGAGTATTTCTTTCCATGGATAAAAGCTTGTATCTCCATGAAGTTGGACATTTGAACATAGAATTTGGCAACTTCAGGACAGCTAGAAAGAGTAAAATATGACATATCGAGGAACCATCAGCAATGTTTTTACCCATCTTTTTTAATCTGAATGTTTTGTTGTTACTTAGAGCAATACTAATATTCTCACTTTTATCTTCAAATATGTTTTCTGTCTTCTATTTTGCTTTTTTAAATCCACATGGCTTAAAACTAAAAATATTACAAGAAAATGTCACTAAAGCATTAAAATAATGTGAAGACTCATAAAAAGGAAACTTTACAGTTTTTAAAATCCAAAATAATTTTCCTTAATTTGCTTCTTTCCTTGGCAGGAATTATTGCACACAGAATAACAATCTGGTTCTCATTTTTTTGCCTTATCACCACATAAACCTGCACTTAATAGATTAAATTTGTAAATAAATCTTTTAAAAGAGTTCTTTCTTGTGTAATTTTGCATAGGGAAAAAGCAGAGTCATGTGTAAATGACAGAATACAGTATCCCCCCTTTCCTCAGTTTCATTTACTTGTGGTCAACTGGGATTCAAAATTAGGTGAGGACAGTAATATCAGATATTTTGAGAGTGAGCAAGAGAGAGAGAGATCGCACTCACATAATTTTTATTACAGTGTATTTGTTATAATCATCCTATTTTGTTATTAGTTACTGTTGACAATCTTTTACTTTTCCTAATTTATAAATTAAACTTTATCATAGGTATGTATGTATAGAAAACAGCATAGTGTATATAGGGTTCAATACTATCTGCAGGTTCAGGTATCCCCGTGGGGTCTTGGAACATATCCTCGGAGGATAAGGGGGGACTACTGTAGTGTAAGTTTAATAGATGTCAGAAGATAATGGCAGCTTGGCACAAACTCTCAATTCTCCATATACTTCATATTTGGGTGATCACCTGTGAAACCCATGTAATTGGTCAGTGATAGAGGTCCTGAAGCCAGTCCCCCCTTGCTTTCTAATCCCTTCTCCAGCCTTTACTCTCTCTCTGTTGCCTTACTCTTTTCTATGCATAAGGCAGTCAGTTTTAAGATATAGGTATTATCTAGCAAGGTAATAAATCCTGAAAATCAGTTATTTATGTCTTGCTTAACTTAGCTGAAAGCCATTTCTTACGTCTCAAGGAACAACAAAGTCACATCAACTCATAAATGGATTCTAAAAATACTACACACTTGCAGTCAAATTTTGTGTGTGTGTGTCTGAGAGAGAGAGTATGTGTGTGTGTGTGTGTGTGTGTAAACCTGGTACTTACCCACATCTATTCAGGAACACTTATAGAACCTTCCTTATTTGTGTCAACACTCTTCTTTCCTAAGAAGTTATTCTATAGAACCCCCTTTCCTGTGAAATGACTACTTAAATTCCAATGGTTCCACTATATATCTCTATCTTGTTCAAAACATTGCTTCACCTTCTTGATCTTCACTGGTCTATTCTAGCTTAGCCCACCTGGCTTGTCCACTGCAAGTCCTCCAAAGACCCATCACAATGCACCAATGTACATTTCTTCTGTTTTTCCTTTTTTTTTTTTTTTTTGACATTGATGTCTTTTTAGTTATTTTAAGTTTATATTACTGAAGGACAAGCAGTATGTTTTCTGTGTGCTACGTGATAACCAGATGTCCTTGACCAAACAAAAATTCTTGCCAGGAGAAAGGAGAAGAAAATGTGTAGGAATCTTTTCCCAAAACAGACAGTGTGATTTTCCATACTGGCCACAGTAGTACATGGAAATTCTTTCTGATGATCTTGGAGTTCCTGACTGAATATCCTGGTAAAGTCTCTGGCAGTTGTCTTTTCAGTTAAAGTGGCTTTTGAGATAGGACCAAATTTGGCATTAGAATTGCAGATACACATGAGAACTTGTATGTGTAGCACAAACAATTTCTTGCTGCCTATTGCTTGTGGGATGCTTGCCAAGAAAAAACAATTTGCTTTGCTGCAAGAGCCCAGTTAGCCATTACTGGAGAATGTTTTTCTAAGATTGCTTATCGGTAATTTTAATAGGACTCAGAAGTTTGTGTGGTTTGCACAAAATGTTAGTTACTTTTTAAAGGCCCAAATTTCTCCCTATTTTCTTCCATGAATCTGAACTCTGTTCTAATTGTAAAATCATCAATAAGAACAGCATCTCCCTAAGTGAGTAGATAAGAATGGATAATTAAATGCTTATGGTGGGCTGGGTGCGGTGACTCACTCCTATAATCCCAGAACTTTGGGAGGCCGAGGTGGGCAGATCACTAGGTCAGGAGATCGAGACCATCCTGGCGAACACTGTGAAACTCCATCTCTACTAAAAATACAAAAAAATTAGCTGGGCGTGGTGGCGGGTGCCTGTAGTCCCAGCTACTCGGGAGGCTGAGGCAGGAGAATGGTGTGAACTCCAGAGGCCGAGTTTGCAGTAAGCCGAGATCGCGCCACTGCACTCCAGCCTGGGCGACAGAGCAAAACACCGTCTCACAAAAAAAAAAAGAAAAAAAAATGCTTATGGTGAAATGGGTTTAACTATTATATTGCTATTTCAGATAGAAGGCCATTCCCAAAGAGGCTCCTTTGGTTTTATACAGGAGTTCAAGTTGGTAGCTACTATTTTGGTTTTTTAATTGTGCACTCTGGTCATGAGAGGCTTTTTGTGGGGAAGATATGTCATCAGTGCCTCTTCATTGATTGATTCATTCATTGAACAAGCATTTGTTGGCAGCGGTTATTCATTTAACAAGCATTATTGGGCCACACTGAGCCGCAGAGAGAGAAATGAGGAAGGCGCTCTTCTTGTCCTCAGTGAAGTCAAGTCCAGGTGTAGGTGACTAACATGCAGAGAAAGAGCTACTATGTGGCTTAATAAATAATATCATAGTAATAATATCATCGCAACGATACATCACGTTCAGTGTTTCTACTTGAATCAAAACCTCGTGTAGACACTTTGATGTGAACCCTAAATTTGGCCTATGTAAATGTTTATACATTTAAAGCTTGATAAAAGAGAACAGAACTCTGGGAAGCTTAGCTTAGTTGTTTAATCACGTTATGAGGCCAAAAATCATGATTTGATTTCTAAAACTAGAACACCTGCTTTGACTAGTAAAAAATTCTATTGGAATTTTAGGATGATCCTATAATTCTACTCAGTGGTCAAGAGTGACATACCTTGAAATTGTGTGAGTATTTATCAGAATAAATATTAATCCAATAACTCAAAATAATTTTTTTACCAATGGAATTTGGATAATACTTTCTCCCTCTCAACCTAAAGATGCATGATATATAGAATTTTGCTTAAATAAAAATGAAAATTTATAAGTTATATGTATGTCATTAAAATATCAGTTATTTACTATTAGTTAGGTATTCCTTAAGGAACCCATTACTAATCCAGGACTCATCCCATATCGAAGAATTTTGAAGTGATAATATAGATGAAGCAGTCAGAAAAGATTTAAATCCTTAGTTCTAGGAAGCTTTTGAGGGAGTGTTCAATTTAAAGGCAACTGGCCTTACTGGCATTTTAGAATCACCTCTATTTCTTGTTGTAAATTATATTCGGAAGATCTCCCTCTTTGGGTTGCAGGCTACCCAAACCAATTTCAGGATGGCTATAGCTGACTCGGAGTGTTGGAGCTGCATAATGACTCTGCCCAAATTCACCTCTCAGACTGGGAGTGGTAGGCAGTGTAATACTTGCCTTTTCTTTATTAATCTGTGTTTCCTAAGTAAAGATGCCCTAGGTTAGTGGAAAATACTTTGCCCTTACTTTCACCTTCAGATGTCAGAAGTCAGGCATTAATTAGACTAAAATGCAGGCATTGCTAGTAAGTTCATCTGTGTTTTCTGGTCTCGTTAGTGCTATTCTGGACTACATGATAATATGCAT